CCAGTCCTGTGGCCACTGCTGAGTTTTCCAAATTTGCTGGCATATTGAGTGCAGCACTTTCACAGCATCATCTTTCAGAATTTGAAATAGATCAACTGGAATTCCATCACCTCCACTAGCTTTGTTCGTAGTGATGCTTTCTAAGGCCCACTTGACTTCACATTCCAGGATGTCTGGCTCTAGGTGAGTGATCACACCATCGTGATTATCTGGGTCGTGAAGATCTTTTCTGTACAGTTCTTCTGTGTATTCTTGCCACCTCTTCTGAATATCTTCTGCTTCTGTTAGGTCCATACCATTTCTGTCCTTTATCAAACCCATCTTTGCATGAAATGTTCCCTTGGTATCTCTAATTTTCTTGAAGAGATCTCCAGTCTTTCCCATTTTGTTGCTTTCCTCTATTTCTTTGCATTGATCGCTGAAGAAGGCTTTCTTATCTCTCCTTGCTATTCTTTGGAACTCTGCATTCAGATGGAAATACCTTTCCTTTTCTCCTTTGCTTTTCCCTTCTCTTTTTTTCACAGCTATTTGTAAGGCCTCCTCAGACAGCATTTTGCCTGTTTGCATTTCTTTTCCTTGGGGATGGTCTTGATTTCTGTCTCCTGTACAATATCACGAACCTCCATCCATAGTTCTTCAGGCACTCTGTCTATCAGATCTAGTCCCTTAAATCTATTTCTCACTTCCACTGTATAGTCGTAAGGGATTTGATTTAGGTCATACCTGAATGGTCTAGTGGTTTTCCCTACTTTCTTCAATTTAAGTCTGAGTTTGGCATTAAGGAGTTCATGGGTATATAGTATGTATTAAAATTAACACATATGTCGTGTGTCTATATAAGTGTGTTATATATATATGCATGTATATCTCCGTATATATGTTTTCTATATAATAACAATATATATGTACACTTATCTCCCTAAATCCTCACCTAATATTCAACATAAGCAATTTTCAAATAAAGTAGGCAACAGTAGTTTTTTGTTATTGTTTGTATTGAGTTTCTTTCACTTCTAATAAAATTAGTTATTTCCCGTAAACCTCTTGACTTGAGATTTATTGTGTAAATTGTCCTTATCCTTTCTTCCAGTTATCTACTAGGGTTGTGTTTCTTTAAAATGTGTAGAGTTTTTAGTGGACTGAAGATGTTATTCTTTACCTACCATTTACTGCCGACATTTTACCAGTGTGACATTTGTTAAAGCACTTGAAGGTTTTAGGTATCCTGATTAGTTGATCTGACTTTTTTTAAAATTTGGAAAATCTTTATTTTATTACAAGATAGTTTAAGTATTTGTTCTGATACTTACAGTTTAGTCTTTTTAAAATAACTTTTTATCTACCTAGAGTTTATGTACCTTATAAGGTTCGGCTCCATAATTTTTTCTTTTTTCCATTGATCAAATAATTCATCAAAAACTCATTAATTTTTGTGTTTTCTTTTTCACGTTTTGTTACTACATATACTTGAACTTATTTCAGAACTGTCCACTACATTTAATTCATTTATATTTTGAGTCATAAATCATTATCCTATAATTTGAATTAAATTTTATTATTTTAATATACTTTAATAACCACTAGGGCATATTTACCCTTTCTGATACTTTGATTCTTGGTTTATTCTCTAAAATAAAATTTAGGTTCTTTCTTTTTTTTTCAAATATCTTTGAAAAATGCAGACAACTTTTGATTGAAATTGAGTTAAACCTATAAATTTATTTGGGTAGAAATGAACACAATTTATTGAATTAACTTCTCAAACAGGAGCATTTTATGTTCATCAGTGAAGCTTTACTGTTTCCTGTGTATGATTATCAAACATTTCTTGACAATGTTCAAGAGCATATTACTTTTTGTTGTTATTATGAACACTTTCTTTGTCTTTTGTTGTATCTACTGAGGACTCAGTGCTATTGAATAGAAAAACTACTCTATATAAACATGCTTTACAATATGTCTTGTTAGCATGACAGCTTCTTACTGGTAAGAAGTTTTTTCATTGGTACACATGACTAGTGAGTGACTAGACAGAGAAATGGAATTTTGTTCCTCTTGGTTGATATCTTGCATTTTCTTAATATTCTTCATGGTAAATGTTATTTTTGGCAAATAAATATCATGATCTGAAGCAAAAAAGCCCAGTGCTGTTATAACCCTGGAAATAACTCTATAATATCTTATAGTCTGTGTTTTTATAAAAATCTATATTTGTAACTTTGGGGGCATATTTCAGATTAAATATTTTTTGCTCCTTAGTACTCTCATATTTTTGTGATTTATCAAAACAATTTAAAATTATTGAAATATTTTGGCCTTCTGGTTCTTATCATTTTTGACAGTAGGCTAGGCTACACTAGTAGATTTCTGCAGGATATTTTGTTAATAAACTAGAAGCTTATGCCTTGTAAATAAAGCTTAACTTGGTATAACATCTCTCTAGAATGTTCCTGACAAAGACTAGGAAAGCTATACATTAGCAGACTTGTTTAGTTACACAGTGATATTAAAATATCTTCAAAACAATGAGTAATTGAAATATTAGCTATCAAGCCAAAAGTTGATTTTATTTTTCAATCTGTTTGCAGGACACAAGTTAACCTTAAAAATGCATTCTAATATACAGTAGGTACAGACAAATACTTTTTGATTCCAGTATACAAGGTGCTTAGAATTGTTAAATTCATACAATCAGAAAGTGCATTGTTAGATGCAAGAGGTAGGGGCAAGGTTGGGGAGGACTTAGTGTTTAATGGGGAGTGTCAGTTGAGGAAAGTGAAAGATTAGGGAGATGGCTGATGGTGAGAGTTGCACAGCAATGTGAATGAACTTAGTGCCATAGAAATATACAGTTTAAATAGCATGCTATGTGACTTTTACCACAATAAAAAAGAATTTTTAAAAAGAGCTATATTACTTTAGATATGTTAATTTATATTCGTGAGGGCTATTTGATACCTTACTGTTAAAACAGAGGTTTGAAAAAGCCTATTATTCTTTAAAAGAAGGAGTAGAAATTGTTGCCATGTAAATAGGTATCATTTAATTTACTGTCAAGAATTTTCTGGCAAAATTTTAATTTACTTGCAAGAATACACAGAAGAACTATACAAAAAAGATCTTCATGACCCAAATAATCGCGATGGTGTGATCACTCACCTAGAGCCAGACATCCTGGAATACGAAGTCAACTGGGTCTTAGGAAGCATCACTACTAACAAAGCTAGTGGAGGTGATAGAATTCCAGTTGAGCTATTTCAAATTCTAAAAGATGATGCTTTGAAAGTGCTGCACTCAATATGTCAGCAAATTTGGAAAACTCATCAGTGGCCACAGGACTTGAAAAGGTCAGTTTTCATTCCAATCCCAAAGAAAGGCAATGCCACAAGAATGCTCAAACTATTGCACAATTGCACTCATCTCACACGCTAGTGAAGTAATGCTCAAAATTCTCCACGCCAGGCTTCAACTGTACATGAATCATGAATATCTAGATGTTCAAGCTGGATTTAGAAAAGGCAGAGGAACAGATATCAAATTGCCAACATCCGTTGGATCATTGAAAAAGCAAGAGAGTTCCAGCAAAACATCTACTTCTGCTTTATTAACTATGCCAAAGCCTTTGACTGTGAATCACAACAAACTGTGGAAAATTGTCCAAGAGATGGGAATACCAGACCACCTGACTTACCTCTTGAGAAATCTGTATGCAAGTCAGGAAGCAACAGTTAGAACTGGACATGGAACAACAGAGTAGTTCCAAATTAGGAAAGGAGTATGTCAAGGCTGTATATTGTCATCCTTTTTATTTAACATATATGCAGAGTACATCATGAGAAATGCTGGGCTGGATGAAGCACAAGCTGGAATCAAGATTGCTGGGAGAAATGGCTATAACCTCAGATATGCAAATGACACCACCCTTATACCAGAAAGCAAAGAAGAACTAGAGCTTCTTGATGAAAGTGAAAGAGGGGAGTGAAAAAGTTGGCTTAAAACTCAACATTCAGAAAACTAAGATCATGGCATCCAGTCCCATCACTTCATTTCAAATAGATGGCGAAACAGTGGGAACAGTGAGTGACTTTAGTTTTTGGGGCTCCAAAATCACTGCAGACATGAAATTAAAAGACACTTGCTCTTGGAAGAAAAATTATAACCAACCTGGACAGCATATTAAAAAGCAGAGACATTATTTTGCCAACAAGGGTCCATCTAGTGAAAGTTACGGTTTTTCCAGTAGTCATGTATGGATGTGAGGGTTGGACTGTAAAGAAAGCTGAGTGCCAAAGAATTGATGCTTTTGAACTGTGGTGCTGGAGAAGACTCTTGAGAGTCCCTTGGAGCACAAAGAGATCAAGCCAGTCCATCTTAAAGGAAATCAGTCCTGAATATTCATTGGAAGAACTGATGCTGAAGCTGAAAATCCAATAGTTTGGTCACCTGATGTGAAGAACTGACTCATTTAAAAGACCCTGATGCTGGGAAAGATTGAAGGCAGAAGGAGAAGGGGATGACAGAGGATGAGATGGTTGAATGGCATCACTAACTCAATGGACGTGAGTTTGAGTAAGCTCTGGGAGTTGGTGATGAATAGGGAAACCTGTTGCAATCCATGGGGTCACAAAGAGTCAGACACGACTGTGTGACTGAACTGAACTGAATTGAATTTACTGTCATTACTATATTGTCTTGACCTCTGGGGCTTCCCAGCGAGCACTAGTGGTAAAGAACCCTCCTACCAGTGTAGGAGTCAAAGAGAGGCAGGTTTGATCCCTGGGTTGGGAAGAATCCCTGGAGGTTTACATGGCAACCCACTCTAGTACTCTCGTCTGGAGAATCCCATGGACAGAGGAGTCTGGCAGGCTAAAGCTATTTAATACGTTACTATTATAACATAGGTTTCAAAAGTCTATTACTCTATAAAAGAAAGATTATAAGTTTTTGACATATAAAATAGGTATAATTTAATTTACTGACATTATTGTTTTGTCTTACAGCTCATGGGGCATTCAGAATGGGACCACAAACGAGGGCCACGAGGATCACAGGTAAGTTTCTTTTCCTTTTTTGCATTTTGTTGCTTAACACTTGGAGCCATGGCTTTTCTAAAACTCAAGAAATAAGGACAGAGAAGAAGAGGCACAGCAGTGATGCCATTTGTTTTTATTTAAGTTAGCTGTAATTAAAGTCTGGTTTCAGATCCCAAGGGCAGATATCAGTATATTCCTCTGAAGAGCTTTTTAGTATCCCAGATTGGTTGTGTTCGTGTTCCTCTGAATAGAGATTTTATATTCATCTCATCTCTGCAGAACTTATTTTGATCAGCAACCTACTCTCTTGATTTTATTCACTTCCTTTGATAATTTTCCTATGTATTTCTTCTTGTCTCTATCTTCCTGGTTTTGGTTAAATATTTTGAAATATAATCACAGTAAACCCTGAACTAATTACAGATTTTGTCTCTAAATGAACTGTCTTCATCTTAGGGAAATAGAAAGATGAAAGGACCTATTATTTAGAAAAAGAAACAAATTATAAACCTTTCTATATTACCAGACTGTTCTCATTGTCTTGCTTTATGTCTTAGGCAAGGAGGAATCTTCCATGACGCATTTATGCTTTTTAATGACCTAATTAGACAATGTGGGTTTGTTTTGCTTTCAAAATTACTTTGCCTGACAGAATAAAGGCTGAATTTTACACTGAGAAAATTATCTCTCCTCCTCGGGTACTTTGCGAAGAAATAGAAAAATCACTTTTCTCTTAGTTGCCTGCACTTACCTGACTGTAAACATGCCAAATAAAAAATGACACTAAAAATATGGTTAAGAGAAAGAGAATTGGATGTGCATTACTGCATATGAAAAATCATTTTGAAATATGAAATTCTCCTCAGGGTTTTACCAAGCTGACATGACCTGTGCTGTCATTAAGTTTTCATAGATAACAGATTAATTTAGGTCACTGAGAAAGTACAACTAAGTCAGTCAGTTGTTTTTAGTGGCAAGTTTAATAGCTGTGTTTTCATTTCTGTCTGATAACAATTTGGTGAATAGATAATATAAATCAGTCTGATTAAATCAGCATTATCCAGAAGAATTTAGGTCTCACTTTCCCTTACTCTTACTTCTCCCTTTCTATTTTCTCCAACAACTTGCCCTCTGTACACATTTAATATTTTAAATCAGAATTTGCTGCCAGATTGGTAATGAATACATGGTAAATTATGTGTAATTCTAGACCTATCAAAGGTAAAGATGAGCAACAGCAAGAAACCCCAGGTTTCTGGAATAAGGGGGGTTCCCAGGTAGCATAGTGGTAGAGAATCCATCTGCCAATGCAAGAGACACGAGAGATGTGGGTTTGATCCCCTAGCTCAGGAAAATCCCCTGGAGGACAAAATGGCAACCCATTCCAGTATTCTTGCCTGAAATAGTCCATGGACAGAGGAGCCTGGTGGGCTACAGTCCATGGGGTCTCAAAGAGTCGGACATGATTTAGCAAGTAAACAACAATAGAGTATCCCTTTATCTCACCTTGATTCTCAACTCAGATAAAAATTGTCAATGTCAAAAGCAAAAACAGTATGTATACATATAACTGATTTAGATTGTTGTACAGCAAAATCTTACACAGCATTGTAAAGCAATTATACTCCAATTAAAAAGCAAATAAGTGTTTTAAAAAGCAAGAACGCACACCCAAAAATTAAAAAGATACCAATTACAACAGAATAGTTTATTTGGAAATTCTAGGTAAATTAAGCACAGGGTAAAACTTCTAATTCTAATTCCCCACCAGAGGGGGCAAAAAAGACACTGTATTTATTATGTTTTAGATCGTTGATCTCTTCTTATCTTGCTATTACTTCCTTGAAGAATATGTCTAAAGCCTTTCAGCCATTTGAAAGGAATTGCTGACTGCATTTGAATACAGACCTCTAAGTATTTTACTAATACCACAAGGCCTCACTCAAATACCATCTCTTTAGGAAAAGAAAAGATTTAGTTTAATTGAAGACAGGTTTTTGACCACTTACTATGTGGACGGCACTGTGGTAGGTCTCAGTCTGAGGGAAAACCCAGTAACAAGCTTATTGTGTTCTGAGACCTTACAAGGTATAGTTTGAAATAGAGCAATACTTGAGTGGATAATTTGCCTATAAGGCATAGTGGTAGATGTAAAATTAATTATATAAACAAAATATGATAAAAGTTTAGGTGGGGCAGATTGTTGATTTATGCCTAGTAGAAATGGGAAAATTTGGTGATGTCTGAGGTGAGCCTTCAAGGTTGTGTTATAAGATTTTAGAAGTGTAGAGAGGGAAAGGAAAAAGCCTGAGGAAAAAGTCTGAACTGGCAAAGTGTGGGGTTGTTTGGATATGTGTGAACTTTCTTTATAACTGCTTTATAAAACCTGACTGGCTAGGGACCATTGCAGGAACTCCTGTGGAGGAATGATCCGGAGAATGTCATTTTTTTTTATTATTAGATGAGGAAGAAGTAAGGAGGGTCAGGAGTTTGAAATCCTGTACTTCACAGATGAGTTCCAGTAACCCAGACCTGTTCACAGGGAAAATAGTGAGATTAGTGTTCACAATGTTGAGTGAGAAGTGAAGATGGCGATCCCAAAAGGGAATTTCAGACGGATACTTGAGATGCTGTTCTGGGCCCTGTAGTCAGATGAAAGGGCTCCTCTGGTGGCTCAGCAGTAATACATCTGCCTGCAATGCAGAAGACCATCTACAAGGTAAGCGATGTGGGTTCGATCCCTGGGTCAGGAAGATCCCTGGGAGAAGGAAATGGCAACCCACTCCAGTATTCTTGCCTGGGAAATTCCATGGACAGAGAAACTTGGAGAGCTCCAGTCCATGGGGTCACAAGAGTTGGATATGACTTAGTGACTGATCCACCACCACAGTCATATGAGAGCAGATGTCAACTAAAGAGTACCAGGCATACATGTGATAATAGAGTTACATCAGGCAATAGATCCCAGAAGAAGAACATGAGAAGAGAAAAACAGACGAAAGGCTGATTCTTGAGGGAGGCTCAGCGTACAGGCTGAGAGGAGCCTGGGGAGGGAGTTAAAACATACACACGGGCTCAGTGGAGACCAGAGGAAGAACTAATGCAGAATTGAAAGTAGTGAGCATGCTGATAAGTTATACCCCAAAGAGGGCTGAGACCACAAACACAGGTTCAAGAAAACAAAAAAAAACATGGGAAATGCTGTTGAGTGTAGTGATGAGCAGGGCATTAGTGGGCTCTGAAAATGCACTTGCAGTCAAGCAGTGGTGGAAAGCAGAATACAGAAATTAAGAAGAGAATTAGTGTGAGGTGGGACTTCCCTGGTGGTTCAGTTGGTAAAGAATCTGCCTGCAATGCAAGAGATCTAGCTTGGATCCCTGGGTCAGGAAGATGCCCCGAAGAAGGGAATAGTTGCCCACTCCAGTATTCTTTCCAGGAGAATTCTATGGACAGAGGACCCTAGCAGACTACAGTCCATGGGGTCACAGAGTCGGACACGACTAAATGACTAACACATTCACTTAACTTTCACTTTTTGGTATGAGATAGTGGAAAGGTCTCTTGGAGGAGTTTTGTTTTAAAAGAAAAGTAGAATTAAGAAAGAGGTGAAAAATGACAAGGTCCCAGTGTATAGCAGTGAACTATATTCAATATCCTTTGATTAACCATCATGGTAAAGAATATAAAAAAGAATGGTGATGGTTTAGTTGCTAAGTCATGTCAGACTCTTGAGACCCCATGGACCATTCAGTATCCTGTAATTAACCATAATGGTAAAGAATATAAAAAAGAATGTATGTGTTTATAACTGAATCACTTCACCATAGAGCAGAGATTAATACAGCATTGTAAATCAGCTATACTTCAGTAAAAAAAAAAATAGCAATAGAAGTGAGGAAAAACTTTTTATGCCAAGGTGAGATATATGTCTTAATAACTTAATGGCAAAAGAATCAGTGTAGAGGAGAAAACACTGGAAGTTCTCAATAGTGACCTATCTAAGGACTGAGAACATAGTGTAGTTCAGGGCAGGGAATGCACTTTCTCTCAAAGTGGTCCTTTCACGCCCATTTATATGTTTTTCTTACCCTCCACCAGTCCCTACCCTGAACTCTTCCATTTACTCTAATTCAGAAAAACTGACAACATTCTTAAATGAATTATTAGGTAGATCCAATAATAAGCACTAATAAAGAAGCTTTGGAAAGAAAGTAGAGAAATTTATACCAGCACAGGAGATAATAAATGGGGACAGGTAGTACAAAAATAAAATGTTGTTTAGTCACTAAGTCATGTCCAACTCTTGCAACCTCATAGACTGTAGCCCACCAGGTTCCTCTGTGCATGGAGCTTCCCAGGTAAGAAGACTGGAGTGGGTTGCCAATTCCCACTCTAAGGAACCTTCCGACTCAGGGATCAAACTCACATCTCCTGCACTGCAGGCAGATTCTTTTACCCCTGGGGCTTCCCTGGTGGCTAAGCTAATAAAGAAACTGCCTTCAGTGTGGGAGACCTGGGTTCAATCCCTGGTTTGGGAAAATCCCCTGGAGAAGGGATTGGCTACCCACTCCAGTACTCTTGCCTGGAGAATTCCATGGACAGAGAGGCCTAGTAAGCTACAGTCCATGGGGTCACAAAGATTTAGATGTAACTGAGCAATTTTCACTTTCTTTTACCAATGAGCCACTGGGGAAACACTGTGAACCTGATGACTTCAGTTTTCTTGGTAGAGAAAGAGTATATAAACTTGGGGATATTACAGTGGAAAACCTTGAATGGCAGAAAATATATGGAGTACATTTGTTTTAGGTTTCCAAAAATGGGGACTGACTTGATGTGTGAGCATCAATAAATACCTGGTAGATAGCAGCGGACTGTCACACATGTGAGGGGCAGCCTGCAAGACATATATTGGTGTTTTTCATGTAGAAAACACCAATATATGTCTTGCACTGTTTTTAACTTTCAAGGAGTCAAAAACAAACTATTTTGTCCTTCAGGAAGGAAGTATATAGTTT